TCAGACACGTCTGTTGGGTCCGATGGCATCTGCTTCACCCCCGGATCACCAGTAAACTTTCCCAAAGTGGGGGTTTTGTCCACTTTATCCCATGTAGCTGTCCCGACACTCGCACTTTCAACGGAGCTCTCACTTTCACTTGACACGTTTTGGGCAGCCCTGTGGCCAATGTCACTGTCACTGATAATGGCCTCGCTATCAGAAGACGAAGCAGTTGGCAAATCTGATAGCTAATCGGAGAACATATCTAACTTATGTACAAAAAAAAACCTGTACCTAATTCATGATTCTCATTTCCCTTTCTATAGAAAAATGTATATTCGCCTGTTGGTTTGGTGCCACCTCCTTCCCATCTGACCTGTACTCCCACTAAAGCTACTATATTTTGAGATTTCTTCCGCCACTGCCCTGAGCAAACCTACCTTACACATACTTTTAACTTTCCAAGTACAAAATCTCGTATCCATTTTCTTTCACTTAGGTCATTTACCCAAGCAATCCGTCCAGGTCTGAGGCTTTCTGTGGTCTTTTTGTAACAATCTTATTTTTTATGGTGAGTTCTTAGCACCACACCTAACCCCAAAGCAGGAGGACCACCCCTTGTCGGCTGTCCAAAACTGCTTATTCAATATATTCACAGCTACCCTCCATCTGCAACATGAAGACCCACCTAACATCGATTGTTACCAAGTACACTTGAAATTAGTAGGAGGCAGATGCAGGTAGGAATTTACTAAAATATACTGGTCATGGAAATGTAAATTCAAGCAGTCATGTTGGCATAATGTTGCTGTATTACCTACACAAACTTACCGAATGTTCACTTGGGTTATCCTGTTTGCTTCATATTAAAGCTGTTGACATGGATTTTACTGATAAACTTCAGTACAATAAAGCAGTTTGTTTAAATGGAAGTGTTTGGAATTTACCCAGTAATAAGTGGCTGATGATGAAAGTTTACACACTGCACTGAGGAAAAGAGCTATGGGCTATGTTTATGAGAATCAGAATCATATTTGTTATATGGGTTAATTGCATGTATGGCCTCTTCTACAAAAAGGTCTTCCATAATTATTTAATTGCTTTATTGTTATTCAGTAATGGTATATAAACATTTACAAAATATACCTTATAATATAAACAAAAATTCCCTTTAAAACTATTACAAAAAAATTGGAAAAAAATATGGCAAGAAGGTAACATCTTGCCAAAGCAAGGGAAATTTGGAAATTTGAATGGAAGAACACAGGAAATATTAATATCCTCCAAACATGGTGAAAAAGAATCTTATGTCAACCAAACTTACTGATGTTTCTTCAGTGGGTGTCTTGACAAATCTCTGCATCAAACAGTAATCCAAGTGAGATGCTTTATGGATAGAGTAAGATACAATGATGAAATACTGGTATGCTAGGTAGAAAATTATCTCAGCTGAGAATGAAGCATTCTGTGCCAACTAACCATATCCTCTTATCCATGCCTAGGTCTTCCATATATTTTCTTTCCATAAGATTTTCCATACAAAATTTTGTATTTCTTGATTTAATTCCCCTAACAAAACTAGATGAATATAAATTGTAGGTCTCCTAGGATATTTTTGCCAGAGCAGAATATAAAAGAAAAAAGTTTTCATTCACCTTTAACTCTGGAGGCTCTTAAAATCATAAGTGCATGCTTCCTTTCAAATGTAATGTAAGATATGAATACTATATCTACATATACAAATGACCTTATCACAAATTCAAATACACTTAGTATAACAGATAATATATGTTACTTTCATTAAGTAGGTGATTTTGGAATTTTCAGCACTCCAATCTTGCGTAAGTAGCGCACAATGACTGGCACAGCTGCCAGAGTAATTCCAATTCTAACTGGAGCCAACATCTTGTGCAAAGCGTAGGCAACTACAAAACTGCTGGCTTCTGCAGCTACTTCTCCTCCTCCAACATGTGCCACAAACCCAGACAAATCTACACCACTGCAACAAATTAAATATATGTAATAATTCATCATTCAGGAACAGATGTCAGAGAAGACAGAGAACATTTATGTAACATTAGATCCATCTGGAAATAATTACATTTAACCCATTGGGTCCTATGTCATAATGTCAAGAGTTGCTTGCTGTAACAGTAAAGTGCTTCAACATTCAGTATCAAAGCAACTGTTTTCAATTTGAAATCAAAACCGATCATAAAGTTAAGTATATCCTGCACAGATGACAGGAACAAACAAGGCCTGAAAACTCTGAACAAAATACCTATTTAACATAATATAATCAGAATTCTAATATCCCTACACCAGCTATCTAAAGGTTCTGAAAATCATGGCATCCCTCTTAAATGTCATTCTTTAACTCTGCACTATGCTCAGAAAAGAGGCTTCAAGGTCTTAAAAGACTACAGTTCCCATATTTAACCCTTTGACGTGGTCATTTAAATTCCGCGGCCGCGGCTCCTGCGGTAATATATTCAGCCGGCCATTTAAATTTTGCTCGAAAATGATTTATTCATCATTGTTCTTAAATTCTATGAGATAGGAACATGAAACTTTTACTAAAATGATCTAAAAAGGTGGTTTTATAACCTTACCTTATAATATGAGCAGCCGGTATCTCGGCAATGGAAGCAGTTTGTTTAGAATTTGAGCAGTGAATGGTACGCTTTGAAGCATGGAACTTTCACTAAAATGATCTTAAAAGATGGTTTTATAACCTTGCCTTATAATATGAGCGCCCTGTATCTCGGGAACGGAGTATGGTACGCATTGAAGCATTCTACTATACACAGCGCTGTCTCACTTCACCACACCAGTACTGCGTATCTCTCATTTGGCTCTCTTTTCCGTAAACCAAACATCTTCTGTGAGGCCTTGCATTCTTCCCCGTGGGGGGA